TTTATTCCCTGGTTCTACGCACATCTCCTCCCCCAATCCCATTCTTACCCACCCACCCACCAATGTCTCCCTCCTGGTCGGCTTGCGCTCCAACTCATTCTCGCCGTCTCGCCACAGGGAGTTTGCCAAGACGATCAAGCGCCCGTTCACGGTGCGCTACAACCCCTACACCCAGAGTGTGGACGTCCTGTCGGACACGCCCAGTATCAACAGCGTGGTGGAGGAGCTGAGGCACGAGCTGGACATCGTGGGCGACGCCCTGAACCGCCTGAACGAGCACCTGGGAGTCTGAGTGACAGGCTGGAGCGCTACGAGTTCGCAGCCACATGTCCCAAATGGTATCCTGTCCACTATGTAGCACACTACTTTCAGACCAAGGCCCATGTGGCCCCCGTATGGGTGACAGGGTATTATTCGGGACACGGGCCTGATGACCTCGACGACATTATCCCTGAGTCTGATTGACGACCTAGACGGGGAACTTCCTGTTATCCTATATTATCATTTGTCTGGCTGTGGATCTGTTGGTGTTGTTATGGCAACTCCCATGGTGACAGATCTGGGTGGAGCTCCCCCCCAAAATGTCCTACGGTTTCTCTACCATAATGTGTAAGTAAATACTCAAATCTCGTACCCCATCGCTGTGACTGTCTCTATGACAACACATCGTTATGCCTGCAGTCCATGTATTTAAAAACCACTCAACTTAATTTTCTGATGTTTTGTACAGAAAGGTGTCCAATATGTTACCCCCATTGCTGTGTATATGCAAGGCTGTGGTCGGGATTCATTCAATGGTGTAAAGTATAATGTACTCAAAAGTGAGAATGTATTCAAGAATGTATCGAGAGAGATTAGAACGGAATTGGTCTATATTAATATTTAGATTTTTTTCATGATCCAGTTCCTAATAATTAAAATTATTTTGAGATGTAACCTTAGTCATGTAGTCAAATGTCATTATTTTTCTACTGTAAAGAAATGTGAACTGATTATGTCTAAGGGGTAAAATAAAATGTGCATGTGTGTCATATTATGTACCGGTATATGTAATATGTTTTTTGTTTGGTTAGAGATTTTATAAACTAAATGAAGTGCAAATGGCATTGTGTTGTCAAATTAAACTGGGATACACAGTTGGCACATTCCACCTGTTGGTTGGAGCTCTAAAAAAAGTTAATCATTCATCATTTCAATCGATAACAAAAAAGTTGGCTATCGTCCTTCCAAATATTCACTACTCAATGAAATAAAAAATAAACAATGTTTTCCTATATAACTTTTTATAGTCGATCTTTTGTAATAATGAACCACCACCCAGATGGGAGTGAGTTTACCTATTATATGTTGAGATTCCCTATAGCCTGCACCTTGCAAAAGTATTCAACCCCCTTGTCAAGTCTATCGATCTGCAACAGAATTAGTGTATTTTGTATGAACATTTGTGCCAGTGATAAAATTGTTATAATTACAAACACGTTATTTTCTTGTACTTTAAACACTCGGATCACTATACACACCGGGTATTGCAAATAATGAATTAGTTCATGGGTAAAAAACAAAACTTCAATTTATGGGTGATTTCGAATTGCATTAAGCCATCAAGCTTGGCTATTCTAATAAAAATTATATGGCCTTACTTATTTATTTATTCTTTTTCTTTAGTTATTTGTAATAGTTAACTATTTACTGATTTGATCGATGGAATAAAATAACAAATTACCAAAAGTATGTAAAATCTATGTTCGGCCACACTCAACATGGCTGACAACAACTGACGTACGCAAACAACTACTTTACGGCAGCCGGCTGTATTTCCTTACTCTTATTTTGTATCCCATGGATACCAATGTGGTGGTAGATGTCGGTATCTACAGCTGGGTAAGTTTCGCTGTTTAACGAAATATTGATATCCTGACATTCACTAAAACGTCCGCGTCTGTCAAGTATATAAAACGCACTATAGAAATATAAATACTATAGATAGCAATACAGGTGCTAGCCGAAGCTAATAAGCTAACGTTAGCTGTCAAGCTGTCAATGGAGTTTCATAATAATAGTCGGCAATGACAGAAGAAACACTACTGTACAGTTCTGCGTGTCCGTCCGCCCATCCGTGCGTGTGTGCGTGTGTTGGAGACAGAGAAGCATTTTCCATGGAAATGAGTATCTTAACCGTGTTACTGATGCTTCTGATATTACATACACTACCATTAATTCTCTGATGAACCCACAGGGAGCCAACAGCTATGGGCAGTTAGGACAGGGACATGTGGAGGACCTGCTCCTGCCCCGGCTCGCAGAGGATGGAGCCCGGCACACACTGAAGCTGACCCGGGCTGTGCGGTCACTCAGTGGAGGTGGTGGTCATTCGACTGTGGTGTCCGGTGAGTCAACTCTGTGTCCGGGCGATTGTGACCGGCACATTTTGTAATGTCTCCCTCTCCTGGGCAGCTTGGTTCTACTTTAGTCATGTAAGGTGTGTGGCAATCTCATCTACTCCTATCCTAGTCGTATTTCTTAAATGATTCCATATCATAATAGTTTTTTGTCCGAGTCCTCGGCACAACTTTAAGTCATACAGGAACAGTTTTTCTTCTTGTGCATTACAATACTTCATTCCATTGTATTTGTTATAAATAATGCCCTTTTCTCATCCCGTCCTTAGATGAAGGTGAGCTTCTGGTGTGTGGGCAGAACCACAGAGGTCAGCTAGGCCTGGGTCACTGTTCGGAGGTCAGGACCTTTCAACTCTGTCCTCTCATAGGCCACAGGGCTTCCCAGGTCACCTGTGGTTGGGACTTTACCCTTATTCTCACTGGTGAGGGTCTGACAGCGAGCTATAGTGAAATTAGACAGGTGTCTTGATACCAGACAGAGTGGCAATGTTTCTCATCTGTTCTGTCAGATCGCGGCCAAGTTCTGGCATGTGGATCAAATGCATACGGGCAGCTGGGCATCTCGGAGGCAGTCAGTCATTCTGTTCTGCTGCGACCCGTCCAGGCTCTGAATGAGCCTGTGATCAGTGTGTCTGCTGGACTGAGACATTCACTAGCTGTCACAGGTAAGCCACACCTAAATGACTACTGTTACGTCCTCCCCTTTGGAGAGGAGACCGTAACACGCCGTCACATGTGAGCGTGCCACGAGAGTGGTGAGGTGAAGTGTGGGTGCACAAGTAGGACAAACACAAAGCAGTACCGTTTAAACCAGGTTTATTTAACCTATAATACGGTAAGGTGGGAAAAGGGGCTGAGCGGAACCAAAGCAAAGAAATTAACTAATCAAAAAGACCCCTAACCTATCTAGACTACACATAAGCAACTAAGCTCTCTACCATAAGTACAGGGGTGGTCCGCCCAGGTCTTACCTATAGACAGAGGTGGTCTACGGGTAGTATGTAAACCCCAGGGCCTCTTACCTAAACACTCCCAGTGTGCTGTCCCCTTTCCCCTGGGACAACTGATGAAAAAAATTCACAGAAAAATTTACTAAACAAAGGACAGGATACGAAAATGAACAATGAAACATACACGACCAAATACACACACAGGTAACAGTGTTACATACCCACATAGGCCAGCCCAAACAACTCTTAAACAAAACCAACAGGATATGTCACTGTCAAAAGGTCTAGCAAAAAGTGTATAAATGTGTATGCGTCCAAAAAAAGTCTGTCAATCTGTGAGTGTCAAAATGTATGTCATAAATCTCTCACAACCGAGCTCTCCTTTCTCTCCTCTCCTCCCAACCTCTCTCCCATCCCCCCCGCAAGAACGATCTGCTGGCCACCTATAAGCAGGGGTATTCTCCCTCCTATTGGCTGATTGTTGCAGGTTGATTAGTGCCTACAGGTGGATGCAGGCATTGGAGATTACTTCACTGTGGCCCACATTGGGTTCACAGATACGTTGTTCCTGTGACCTCACAGCTCTGAACACTTTCTTCACTGCCTTATGCATGGCTCTGTGTGCTTGCTGGGTATAACCAGGAATAGTAGTTAGCTTGTCTCTCCTCAGCCACTCAATAGACTAGGGGTTCTATGTCTTTGTTTACAACGTCAACAACTGTCTCCTCATGCTCCAGAGACGGGTACCGTGTACCAGTGGGGTTTGGGCCTCTCGGCTCAGGCCAGAAGAGCCCTGAGTCCAGAGACCGTCCCGGAACACTTCACCTCCAAGAGCCCCTGTCAGGTCCCAGGTCTGGGTCATGTGATATCACACCGGGTAGCGGCAGGCTCCGCCCACTCTGTGTGTCTCACTGGTGAGTAGCGGCTCTGTCTTTGCTGCCTGTGTGTTGTAGCCATTCATGTACATGCTGTCACTGCTGTGTGTTGTAGCCATTCATGTACATGCTGTCACTGCTGTGTGTTGTAGCCATTCATGTACATGCGGTCTCTGCTGTGTGTTGTAGCCATTCATGTACATGCTGTCACTGCTGTGGGTTGTAGCCATTCATGTACATGCTGTCACTGCTGTGTGTTGTAGCCATTCATGAACATGCTGTCTCTGCTGTGTGTTGTAGCCATTCATGTACATGCTGTCACTGCTGTGGGTTGTAGCCATTCATGTACATGCTGTCACTGCTGTGGGTTGTAGCCATTCATGTACATGCTGTCACTGCTGTGGGTTGTAGCCATTCATGTACATGCTGTCACTGCTGTGGGTTGTAGCCATTCATGAACATGCTGTCTCTGCTGTGTGTTGTAGCCGTTCATGTGTGTGTTGTCTCGGCTGTGTGTTGTAGCCGTTCATGTGTGTGTTGTCTCTGCTGTGTGTTGTAGCCGTTCATGTGTCTGTTGTCTCTGCTGTGTGTTGCAGCTGGGGGGGATGTCTTCCTGTGGGGCTGTAATAAACACGGCCAGCTGACCGGTACCAAGGCCTTCCTACCCAGACCCGTCCTGCTGGACCGCACGGCACTGGACGGGGAGAGGGTTACGGACATACAGAGTGGATGGACACACCTCGTGGCCCAAACAGGTGAGAGATTTGAGTCCTCTGACCACAGTGGCTCAGTCGCTGGAGCGTACCACTTATGCCTCTGTGGTTGTGGATTCGATTCCACCGGTGTTGAAATGGGATCTATCGTCTCTGTGGATAAGAACTTTCACTTAGGGATGCTATAAAAGATTGTCAATCTGTTGCTCCATTTTGTTGTAATGAACATAGGTTCTGCTGTGGGTGATGCTATTGGTTTAATAGGATGCCTCTCAATCCATTCTTCCAGAGAGTGGGCGGGTCTTCACGTGGGGCAGAGCCAATTACAGCCAGCTGGGGAGGACTGAGCCAACTAATCAGTGTTCAGGAGGTCCCACAACAGAAGCTACAAGCCAGTGGGCATGTGTCCCTTCTGAGGTCAAGGTTCTTTGTGGAGCCACACAGGTGAGACTTACCTTACTTTACAGTTTGGTTGACTTGTGGCCCAGGGTGAAAGTCAAACGCACTGACTTGGGTGCTTGATAGTAGGTTTGAGTCCAACCTACTAATATTTAAGTTTTCAGGCTTTCTTTTGAAAGTTTAGCTTTTTCCTGAAAATATATTCTTAAAATCTTTATGTGGTTCCTGTTATGCCGTTGAACGTACAGATGTAACATACGATGTGTTTAGTTGACTGACAGATGTAACATACAATGTGTTTAGTTGATCGCTGAAGTTCAGCCATTCTGCTGTTGTGAGATCTTATTACGCAACCATTTGCTGTGTACCAGACTGACTAGGGAAAAGCGTTACCGCCACAGGACAGTAGAGGGCAGCAGAATGTAACAAATACACAAATAAACCCTGCCCTAAGGATGTTTGTTTCAGTGTAACAGCTTAGATTTCAGGCTACTGGACTGGTTCTCTCCAGCCATGTCTGCTCCTTATTCAAAGCTGTGTCATTGTATAGCGTGACTTCCATCTAAAGTCTGTCTGTTCATGACTTCTGCCAGATATGCATGTCCAATGCCCTCCTAATCACACACACAAATGCACACGTGTGCACACACGCACACACACATATGCACGCACACGCGCGCACACACACACACGCATATGCACAGACACACAAAATGCTGTAGGGATGATAGATTAGCTACTTGGACAATGAATCTATCCCATCCTTTTATCCCCTTATCCCTTTCTAGACCATTTTAAAACACACATACACGAGCACATACATAGATGCATACTTACATGCACACACATGCACACATACACATGCACACACACGTGCACACACACCCATGCACAAATACACACCCATGCACATATACCCACACACACACATACCCATGCACAAATACACACACACACACACACACATCCCCACACACACACACATGCCCACACACACATGCACCAACCCATGCACACACACACATGCACACACTCTGTCTATCTCCTTGTCTGTCTCTATTTTACTCTCATGCTCTCTCCCTTTCACTTTATGGCTCTCTCTCTCTCTGTCTATCTCAGAGTCAATATTTAGTAAACGGGTTTCTGAAGTCCACACAGACGCTACTGTGTAATAAATAACGTCTTCCTGCTTGTTTCTACATTCATGTGTCTGAAATGCCACCCTGCTTCTCATATAGTGCACTTGGTTAGACCAGGTAAATGGGTGTACCCTAGGAGTAACTGAGGGGCATAAATTCTTCTCATATAGTGCACTTGGTTTGACCAGGGAAATGGGTGTCGTTTTGGGTGTTCAAGTTGTGTTGGTCAGTAGGAGAGAGCAGCTGTCAGTGGACCACAGCTGGCTAGTAATCTCATCATGAATAAGTTAGTGTTTTGGTATGAGAACACGCTAATGTACGGAGTAGTAAAAAGGCTGGTTCAGCTACACACACACACACACACACATTTAGCCCTGTCCAGCCATTGAAGACAGTTAGCCTAACTTTTTGGGACAGCTTAGCTTAGCGGTTGTGACAGCTTTGCCTTTTCTCCTCGTCGTAGTTCTGTGTTGACTGGCTGTGCTCAGACTGGCTTTGGGGCTGATGAGAGCTTGTGGCCCTACATAACCCTACATAACTCTACATAACCCTTCATAACTCTACATAACCCTACATAACCCTTCATAAATCTACATAACCCTACATAACCCTGCATAACCCTGCATAACCCTGCATAACCCTACATAACCCTACATAACCCTACATAACCCTACATAACCCTTCATAACTCTACATAATCCTGCATAACCCTACATAACTCTACATAACCCTACATAACTCTAAATAACCCTTCATAACTCTACATAACTCCACATAACCTACATAATTCTTCATAACCCTACATAACCCTGCATACCTCTACATAACCCTACATAACTCTACATAACCCTTCATAACTCTACATAACTCCACATAACCTACATAATTCTTCATAACCCTACATAACCCTGCATAACTCTACATAACCCTACATAACTCTAAATAACCCTTCATAACTCCACATAACCTACATAATTCTTCATAACCCTACATAACCCTGCATAACTCTACATAACCCTACATAACTCTACATAACCCTTCATAACTCTACATAACTCTACATAACTCTACATAACTCTACATAACCCTTCATAACTCTACATAACTCTACATAACCCTGCATAACTCTACATAACCCTGCATAACTCTACATAACCCTGCATAACTCTACATAACCCTTCATAACTCTACATAACTCTACATAACCCTGCATACCTCTACATAACCCTGCATAACTCTACATAACCCTGCATAACTCTACATAACCCTTCATAACTCTACATAACCCTACATAACCCTACATAACTCTACATAACTCTACATAACCCTACATAACTCTACATAACCCTTCATAACTCTACATAACCCTTCATAACCCTACATAACTCTTCATAACCCTACATAACTCTACATAACCCTACATAACCCTACATAACCCTACATAACCCTCCATAACTCTACATAACCCTTCATAACTCTACATAACTCTACATAACTCTACATAACTCTACATAACCCTACATAACCCTTCATAACCCTCCATAACCCTGCATAACTCTACATAACCCTGCATAACTCTACATAACCCTACATAACTCTACATAACCCTTCATAACTCTACATAACCCTTCATAACTCTACATAACCCTTCATAACTCTACATAACCCTACATAACCCTACATAACTCTACATAACCCTTCATAACTCTACATAACTCTACATAACCCTGCATAACTCTACATAACCCTGCATAACTCTACATAACCCTGCATAACTCTACATAACCCTTCATAACTCTACATAACCCTACATAACCCTACATAACTCTACATAACCCTGCATAACTCTACATAACCCTGCATAACTCTACATAACCCTGCATAACTCTACATAACCCTGCATAACTCTACATAACCCTACATAACCCTACATAACCCTACATAACTCTACATAACTCTACATAACCCTACATAACCCTACATAACCCTTCATAACTCTACATAACCCTTCATAACTCTACATAACTCTACATAACCCTACATAACTCTACATAACTCTACATAACCCTACATAACCCTTCATAACTCTACATAACTCTACATAACCCTACATAACTCTACATAACTCTACATAACCCTACATAACCCTTCATAACTCTACATAACCCTTCATAACTCTACATAACTCTACATAACTCTTCATAACCCTACATAACTCTTCATAACCCTACATAACTCTACATAACCCTACATAACTCTACATAACCCTTCATAACTCTACATAACCCTGCATAACTCTACATAACCCTGCATAACCCTACATAACTCTTCATAACCCTACATAACTCTACATAACCCTACATAACTCTACATAACCCTTCATAACTCTACATAACCCTGCATAACTCTACATAACCCTGCATAACTCTACATAACCCTGCATAACTCTACATAACCCTTCATAACTCTACATAACTCTGTGTAGATCTGACACTTTGTCAGTCAGCACCAGTGAGTAAACAATATGCATGTTGCATCAACCCCATCCGATCATTTCTTATTTCAAGACTTTAAAACAATGTGCTGCAAACAAGCCGCTTTATTACTTCTAAAGGCCATCAATGTATCCTCGAGTTCTATTTAAAAGAAACCCCAGTCTCATCCTTTCAGTTTTGTTCGTGATGGCGTATCCCTTCACTGTCGCTCCCAGTCAGGTCTGAGGCGGGTCCCTTCTGCTCCGGTTTAAACGGAGTGTGAGCTCCCAGAACCTCACTGTTGTGGTCCCTGTGGCCAGTTAACCTCCTGGGGAACGATCAGTGATTGGAGTTAGCCAACCCATCCTCGTTGCCAATTGTCGTGGAATTCTTATAAGTTCAGAGACTGTAGTTTCTTCTAATAATCAAATGCTTTATTCAAGATTCATGAACCTGGAGCAGTTAACAATACATTTACATGTCAACCCATCTGATATATATACGTCCAGCATCAACCCATCTGATATATATATACGTCCAGCATCAACCCATCTGATATATATATATACGTCCAGCATCAACCCATCTGATATATATACGTCCAGCATCAACCCATCTGATATATATACGTCCAGCACCAACCCATCTGATATATATATACGTCCAGCATCAACCCATCTGATATATATATACGTCCAGCATCAACCCATCTGATATATATACGTCCAGCATCAACCCATCTGATATATATACGCCCAGCACCAACCCATCTGATATATATATACGTCCAGCATCAACCCATCTGATATATATACGTCCAGCATCAACCCATCTGATATATATACGTCCAGCATCAACCCATCTGATATATATATACGTCCAGCATCAACCCATCTGATATATATACGTCCAGCATCAACCCATCTGATATATATACGTCCAGCATCAACCCATCTGATATATATATACGTCCAGCATCAACCCATCTGATATATATATACGTCCAGCATCAACCCATCTGATATATATACGTCCAGCACCAACCCATCTGATATATATATACGTCCAGCACCAACCCATCTGATATATATATACGTCCAGCATCAACCCATCTGATATATAT